GGGTTGTTTTGGCTATTCTGGGTCTTTTGTTTCTCCATATAATGTTGAGAATTGTTCTTTCAAGGTCTGTGAAGAATTGTGTTGGGATTTTGATGGGGATTGCATTAAATCTATGGATTGCTATTGGCAAGATTGCCATTTTTACCATGTTGATCCTACCTATCCAGGAGCATGGGAGATCTTTCCATTTTCTGGTATCTTCTTTAATTTCTTTCTTTAGAGACTCAAAATTCTTACAGTACAGGTCTTTCACTTTTTTGGTTAGTGTTAACCCAAGGTATTTTATGTTGTTTGTGGCAATTCTAAGGGCGATGTTTCTCTAATTTCTTTCTCCACCAATATTTCATCAGTATATAGTAGGGTACAGATTTTTTTGAGTTAATCTTGTATCCTGCCACTTTGCTGAAGGTGTTTATCAGCTGTAGGAGTTCCCTGGTAGAGTTTTTCAGGTCACTTATGTAGACTATCATATCATCTGCAAATAGTGAGAGTTTGACTTCTTCCTGTCTGATTTGTATTCCCTTGATTTCCTTCTGTTGTCTTATTGCTCTAGCTAGAACTTCAAGTACAATATTGAAGAGGTATGGAGATAGGGGACAGCCTTGTCTTGTCCCTGATTTTAGAGGAATTGCATTGAGTTCCTCTCCATTTAATTTGATGTTGGCTGTCGGCTTACTGTATATTCATTTTATTATGTTGAGGTATGTTCCTGTTAGCCCTGATTTCTCTAAGACCTTTATCATGAAGGGATGTTGGATTTTGTCAAAGGCTTTTTTGGCATCTAGTGAGATGATCATGTGGTTTTTTTTTCCTCAGTCTGTTTATATGGTGGATTACATTGATGGATTTTCATATCATTGCATCCCTGGAATCAAGCCTACTTGATCATGGTGGATGATTTCTCTGATGTGTTCTTGGATTCGATTTGCCAGTATTTTATTGAGAATTTTTGCATCAGTGTTCATGAGGGAACATTGGTCTGTAGTTCTCTTTCTTAGTTGTGTCTTTGTGTGGCTTAGATATCAAGGTTATTGAAGCCTCATAAAAAGAGTTTAGCAATGACCATTCTGCTTCTATTATGTAGAAAACTTTGAGGAGAATTGGTATTAGCTATACCTTGAATTTCTGGTAGAATTCTGCACTGAAGCCATCTGGCCCTGGGCTTTTTTTTTGTTTTGGAGACTTCTGATAACTGCTTCAATTTCAAAAAGGGTTTATACGTCTATTTAAGTTGCTTATCTGTTCTTGATTTAATTTGGTAAGTGAAATCTATCCAGAAAATTGTCCATTTCCTTTAGAATTTCGAATTTTGAGGAATACAGGTTTTTGAAGTGTGACCTGATGATTCTCTGGATTTCCTCTGAGTCTGTTCTTATGTCCCCCTTTTCATTCCTGATTCTATTAATTTGCATGTTCACTCTCTGCTGTTTGTTAAGTTTGGATAAAGGTTTGTCTATCTTGTTGATTTTCTCGAAGAACCAACTCTTCGTTTTATTGGTTCTTTGTATTGCTCTCCTAGTTTCCATTGCATTGATTTCAGCCCTCAATTTGATTGTTTCCTGGCATCTGCTCCTCCGG